AACTTAACCTGTTGTAAACCTTAGTGATCACGGGGTAATATTAATTGTGTCTTTTACTCTAATAATTTTGAATTCAGAGAATTTCTCTTTAACTTTAGTCATTTTTCTTGTCATTTTAAATCATTTTGTATCATAAAAAAGCTCTAGGTAAATGTATACCTATTTATTTGATCTATGAAATTTTGTAAATACCCGTATTCTTTTTAATAGTAAATGCCATAATACCGACTCTGGCGTTTTATTTATTTAACTTTTAAGATAAACAGTATTACTAACTATTTAATGACCCACACCTTTTGTCCCGACAGCTAGCCGAAGTGGTCTTCTTCTCTAAGCTCTAGGAGAACACTATAACCTTTTTTTTGTAACGGTTTTTCTAAATTCTAAATAATAATATACAAAATTTAGGAGGTTACCAACTAACACCGATTTTTGAGTTATAGTAAACAAACCCCGTTATACTCTTAGGTTTAGAGGCCCTAGTCCCTCCAATTTCCTCCTGCGGGTGAATGCAATTATGTCAGATTTGTTTGGGCTAATGTTTAGTCCTTCCGCCTCTGTCCATTTTGTTACTATATTTAGAGCCTCTTGCATTCGATCTCTTACTATAGTGTTGTATTTTCCCTGTGCCATGATCACTAGATCATCGGCATATCCCAGGGTTCTATGTCACTTATCTTTGAGAGCCCTAAGCAGCCCGTCCACTACAAGGTTCCACAGGAGTGGAGACAACACTCCACCCTATGGACATCCTCTCGCTACCCGTGCCGCTGTTGTCTCTCCCATAAGGGTTGTGTGTATAGTTATCTCCCTTAACATAGAGTCGACCCAGGACACGCATGAGGCCTCGTTTCCTCTGTGTTTGAGAGATCTATTGATCGATTCAACGGAGGTATTGTCAAATGCACCCTCGATATCCAAGAATGCTCCCAGCATTACCTCCTTGTTTTCCAGTGTGTTCTCCACCCTTTTTATTAGTTGATGGAGAGCTGTTTCAGTTGATTTCCCTGCACTATAGGCGTATTGGTCTTGGTATATTGGCCTTTGAACCAATATCCCGTCTCTAATATGCCTATCTAACAGTTTTTCCAAAGCCTTAAGTACGAAGGACATAAGACTTATTGGTCTTAGGGACTTTGCCGTTTCCTGTCCCATTTTCCCAGGTTTTGGTATAAAAGTTACCCTAATATTTCTCCAAGCTTTTGGTATGTGTCCAAAGGCCAGGCTACCTCTGAGTATGTTACAGAGTCTGCTGTATAAAATATCAGGACCTCTTTGTAACATTATTGGATAAATCCCATCCATGCCCGGTGATTTATATGGTTCGAATGAGCTAATTGCCCATTTCAGTTTATCATAGTTCACCACTTGTTTGGCTATCCTCCAATCTTCCCTGTTGGCTCTATTATGAGCTTCCAGTCCGTTTAGATTCCGGTTAGCCGGTGTGTGTGCTATGGTTTGTGCACCAGGGAAGTGAACCCTGAAGAGGTCCCTTACTGTTTCCTTCCCTGTGATTGTGTACTCCCCAAGTTCATTCTTAAGGGTGTTTACATAATGTTTACATAATGTTTACATAATGATATTATCTAGATTTATTGGGAGCAAGTTTTTTAAAAAAGGGCATAATTAAAAAATATATATTTTTATCTTGGCAGATCAACTTAAATTAAAAAAAAAAAAAAATTAAGAATAAAAATGTGTAAACAAAATACATTTATATCGCTTGAGAAATAAAAATCAAGTAAAGAATAGATTCCTCTTAATAGAAAAAGAGTAGACATTTGGAATTTAAAGATAGTTAAGGTAATTTCAGTTTCTATTTTGTTTAAAATCTAGTTTTTTAAAAAATGGTATAATTAAAAAAAATATCTCGGAAAATCAGCTTAGATAAAAAAAAATTCATTTAAATCGCTTGACAAATAAATATAAATAAAATCAGCGGGATATTACTTCAATTTAATAAAAATATTAAAAGTAAAATGATATAATAATAGCTGAATAATTGTATGTGTTATAATGTACTCATACATGTATGACGTTGCTCATAATGTTACTAATCATGTGTTATTTATGTTGTCATCAACATCAATAAAGTATACATATCTGACAGATCAAATATACGAGCCTGCTTTGCCTATTCTAGAACGAAATATTCAGCAATCTTTCACTCCTCTTCTTTTCGACGCTCTCAACTCTATTAAGTACCGCTCGTCGGAGGATCCACAAAAAATGGATTGTCGAATATCTGACAGGCGAGAAATCGAAAGGTTGTATAAACATGGAAAGTTGCGCCAACAAAGAGCTTATTTCTTTAGATTTATATGGACACGACACTGGCTGGTTTTTGGCGCGGTTCAGGCACGACTCGTTTTATTTACACACACCTTTACGTTTTATTGTTTATTTTGTTATAATGTTTTATATTTACAGAATAAAAATAATAAACAATTTATTGAGTAGTTTTTCCTGTTTCTATTATTTTCGATAATTTATTTATGCCTAGTATTATTTATTGTTACTCGTATTCAATCTTATTATACATACATTATTTTAACTCACTTTAAAAGTATCCGTAAAAGTATCCTTTTAAGTATCCGAAAAAAGTATCCGGATACTTGTATCCCAGTACTTTTTAGGTGAAAGTATCCTAAAAAGTATCCGGATACATTGTAAGTATCCGTATCCGGTACTCGGATACTTTTTTCCTGTATCCGACCCAACTCTGCGCAAACTAGATAATTTATTAGAAGTGGGGAATCAAAGTTACCGTTCATCTTACAAAAAAATGTGATGGTACTCTCATACATAGTATATGTTTAAAACCTCGAATTTTTGACGTTAAGGTTAAATTGTAATTAGTAAAAATTAAATAAAAATGTAAGATTCCGACGGATTCTATGTTTCTTACATAAGTAAATAAAAGTAACTTCGTTACACACAAACGCATCGTATAAACGTCAATTTACTCACAGTTTGAACATATTAAAGTTTTTCAAACTGGTAAATTAGGTATTTCAAACAAAATGGCTACCAATGGGTTTTGACAGGTTATGATATAACAAAATTATGGCAACCCTGCAGGCCTGGTGATTTGACATTGTTAATAAAATAGATAGTTACATAGATTGGTCATCCATGTTTTTCAAAATAAACATAGGCCTATGCCTTGAAGTAAAAATGTAATTAATTATTTTTTTTACTATATTCAAAGGCTAAAAATTGGTATGTAAATACATTTTTACTAAACCAATTCTGATTAATTAGCACTTGCGTAACAATATGGCCACCCGCTTTGAGCAATCTATATAAAACTATATATGTATTATTGACAACAAGCCCACAGGGTTGCCATATCTAAATTGTCAGTTCCCACTTGTCAGCATTTTGACAGTTCGTTGGAATGCCTAATTTTAATAAACCTACTTGTAATCTGGCTATTTTACTAAATCACTATGCTTTCATCGATCAATAATAATTGTTAACCGTTAATCGTTGATAATTAATTTTATTATAATTATATTAATTTGATTATGAAATTTCAAACTTTTAGAATCGTGATTATACAAAAGAATATTTTATTAAATAACTTCAATTAGACATTGGACTCGCGAGTTTAATTTTAACATATTAATATTGTAATTTTTTAAAGGTTGTCCCAGAATATGTGGGCAATATAATAATGTTTTTTGTGAATACGGGATATTGTTTAGATATTCTGGGACACCTTGTAGTTAGATAATATTCTATAATATCCTACGTCTAGGGTTTGAAAAAGATCGCTTCTGCTGATTGGGGTATAAAAGCATTTCTAAATGAAGCCCTTGTTAAAATGGCGATCATTTTTTTTGTAAAAAAACAAACTAAGTATTTAAGTATAAAAGATAATTGGATTTTATTATTATTTTTTTATTTCTTATTAATATAAGAGAAGGGTGTCTATAGCGCATAGATATCTGGGACACTCTGTTTATAGCATCCATGGTTTGTATAATTAATAATAAAACTGTTACTTTAACTACATCAATACCAAAATATACACTACTAGTTCTAGTTACATCATTTACTGTGTAGAAAATATTGAGTTATATTTTTTAAAACCCTGACTGAAAGAATTTTAAAAATCTGAAATTACAGAGAAGGCGACTTGAGAAAGTATTTAACAATGACCAATCAAGAACTTCTCGAGTTATCTAAAAGACATTCGTCCACTCGGCTGGCACAAGTAGCCATTAAATCAAAGTTGTTGAATTACCAACAGGTCGATCTGTTCTGGTCGTATAATCACGCTGGTTACACAGAATGTTCTGATGGCATTAAATTGACTTGGCTCAATAAGATCAAGTGGAAGAGTATGTCTTATACGTGTAAACATGGTAAGTAAAAAGTGTGATTTAGGACTGTTGATAATCCATAGCATTTCGCAATGACAAATTAAAGAATCACCAAACTGTAGAAATAAGTTTTTTGGAAATAATTTATTTTATAAGATACCAGGTGAAAGTTTGACCAATTAGCATAGGTCTCAGAGGTAACTGTAAGCAGCAAATTAGATGCAGGATATAGAGAGAATCAGATAGTGGGAGTTGAAAGATGACAAATAAGTCAACTTTAGGCGACTAAGACGGTAAAAAAGGTGGAAAAGGTATAGTGGGAATAACACAACAGGTAATAAATTTGTAGATAAGGAAACATGGTGATGGTCAGAATAGGAATATAAAATAAGGGGAAAAAGAGGTTGTTTAAATAGTGACAGAAGTCAAGAACTCAGGAAGACAGCTAGAAAAAGAGAAAAGGTGGTCTAAAAACCAGTTACAGGAACGTTTTTTAAAATTGTATTGCAGCTTGAGAATATCATTTATATTCATGATATAAACTTCTCACTCATAATTTAAATGCCTCTTAAAATTTAACTTAGCTTCAATATTCAACGAACGTTCTTTGAAACACAAATTCGATACAAATATTCATTTTATTTCGAATAAAAATAAAAACGTTTCCAGGTCTATGCGAAGCATCCAGACAATCGTTTTGGTTCCATTTGCCGGGCATTTCAAAGTTGAACGTTCCTCGAAGCTACAGGTTGGCCAAAGAAGGCGATGCCGAAGAATTTGTTAAAGATTTCAACACGACAGCCGCCATGTCGCTTTTGAAATGGGTCAAGAGTAGATGCGAAGTTCAACATGCCAAGCTTATGAACACAACCGGAAAAGTGCCGCTGAGAATGTTTGATTTTGCCATCAATGAGTGCTACAAGTTTTTAAAACGAGCTAGACATGAAGGTTTGTATAAAACATGAAAAATTTATCGAAAAAATAATACAATGTCTAATTTAGGTAAACTTACGCTTGCACTTTGATTTGATCGCTTAGAAAAATAAATTTTACACAATAAAATCTATAGATCTAGCTGGTTATATTATGATAATAAATGGTTGGTTGGTGTTGGATTTGTAGGTTGTAACAAGTTGAACCCAACACAAATTTTAAATACGCTACCCAGATAACAATTATAGATTCTTAGCATATTCTTAGTATATACTTTTTAAGAATACGCATAGTTGAGAACATACTTTATTTGCATTTAGTACATTCTCAGAATATACTAAGCATATGTTACGTGACGTTGTTTATACGTGCTATGCAGATACTGAAAATGTACTTCAAGTATGTGTACAGTATGCAATAGGTATCTACTTTAATTTGATAGTACGTTCTAAGTATTTAAATATAGCATATGCTAGGCATACACTAGACACCCTAATACAGGATACTTCATTAATATTGAACATTAAATAATAAGTGTATATAATGAAAGTTGTGACCATTTTTTAAATCTGTATTTCAAAAAATTCATACTTATTCTTATTTTTATTACAAATTCTTTCTTTGGCCTTAACCAACCAATATTTTATTGTATCAATGGCTTGAGTTTCATTTTCTTGATTCCATTGGGTCTTCATTGAACCTGAAAAATAAAAAAAAATCAACAAACTTGGTACATATACAAATTAGGTGTGCATAGCTAATGGAATATTTTAAATAATTTTGTTGAACGTAAAACATTAAAAATTGTACATGGCATTCCACTCCACTAACAAAAACAGGAGTTACATAAATGATTATTATGTTTAGTGAAAGTTTAAATATATTTTTGTTAATTACTTACCACCATTTTGTAGTTTTCGTCCTCCTTTAGCTAATTTTTTTAGTTCTTCCATGTTAATTTCTGGCCTTACAGGATTTTTGTCATAGAAAGTGTATGTAATTCTGGTAACACTGTATTTTAGTTTCAATCCGCATTAATATTAACCATATTAATAAATTCACACTGGCAATTAATATTTGGGATATCCTGTGTTCTAACATCACTTAGGTCCTAATTACAAATATAGTAAAATTTGTTTATTTTTATATAGAACACACGATACAATTAATTTTTATTAATTTACTTAGCTGTTACAAACTGAAACGAGATCAAAAAAATTTGTATGAATTGTAGGTTATGTTATTCTTCTTCTCCTTCTTCTTCTCTTCACATTAGTGTGTTTGCTTGCGAATTATCAGATCGGCATCTGAGAAATATTCATATAGATATGTATATAAACGTGTTTTTATATGTATTTGGTGTTAATTTTCACTTGCAAGCATTTAGAACATTCTCAGAATATGAGGTATATACTGGGTATATGACTTTTAGTATCTTCTAAGAATGTACTGTTATAGCACGTGCTCAGTATATACTTTTTAGAATATACTTTTAAGGCACGTACTCAGTCTATATTTTTTAGAATATACTTTCAAAGTATTTACTAGGTATGTTCTAAGAACATTCTAGAAAGGACATACTAAACAGAACATAAATAGAAAGTTCTTAGTATATTCATAGAATATTGTGATGTTATGTGGGTAAGGCGCGCTTTCCAAATGGATTGTCTCCTTTCGAAGCTATCTGTAACCATCTCCATATGAACAATGAAATTACAATGCTTTGTAAAAAACAATTTATTATGCGAAAACGCTGCATGACAACTTTTAAATCTGTACATATTTACATTATTTTTATTTAACTACTGCCTACATGCCTAAAGGTACGTTTACATCTGACATTTATTGCATGATATTTATGTCTGACAGTTGTTTAGTCCAGTGTAAACACTCAAAAATATATGTCCATCTATAAGTTTACATAACAACTAATAAAATAAAAAAGAAAACTGTAAATTATTATTTTGGCAATCTGTTTAAGGTTATGGCATCGGTATTCATTTTTCTTTGTCTTCTTCATTATTTGTATGTGCTCAGTTTTTCACCATCTCTATCTACTTAGTGCCCAGTCCCAGAGTCTTCTTTTTCTTAGTCATGTGTCATGTCAAAATTTGTAAAAACATAAAACAAATTGAGGTTACAATATCTGGTTTTGTTTTTGAATTATTTTTTGCATTTATTTTCAAAATACTTGCTTAGAAACACAAAGAAAATTATGAAAAGTAAAGTTAAAAGGTAGGTGTGCACCTTTTGTTTACTACTTTAAATTTCAAAGTGAATAGATGTATTTATCATTGTTGGGTAATGTAGCCGACACCCATTAAAAAAGGTTTAATTTAACAAAAATTAGCCATAGAGACCTAACGCGCGCTTAGTAAGGCATGTAGATCTAGATTCCAGATCTTGGCGATAGTGAGAGTGAAAAATGAAATGAAGAAGGCAAGCAAAAAAGAAGTTTATGCTGACGCCGCCGTAACTTTAGACAGATTACCAAAATAATAATTTACAGTTTTCTTTTGTATTTTATTAGTTGTTATGTAAACTTATAGATGGCGCAAAGATCTTCCAATGACCTTGCAACTTCAAGATGTCTTCCGTTGAAATAATCTATTTGTCTGTATATTGTAACAGCTACTTATTGTGTTGACATTAATTTCTTTGCAGAGAATATTTTTATTTAATACTTAGATGCCAGATACGAAAGTTCTCTTTCTTATTCATTGATTAAGGTTTTTTTAGAGTCACCTAGTGGAATTATTTTTTAAATAAATGATTAACTACATTTTAATTAATTTTATTTATATTCTTAGGTGAAATAGTAAAGGATTTTTATACATATAATTATTGATCGTATTTTTTTATAAATAAACATTATTGTTGTTATAACTAATATTCGATAATATACAGGGTGTCCGGAAAGTCAACGATAATACTGAAAGGGGGATGGACCAACTCATAATCTTTCAGAAAAACATAATATAACTTTTAGTAAAAAATCGATGGTTTTCGAGATATTGCCACTTTAATAAAATTCGTTAAACACTCCTAAAAAAATGTTTAATTCTTAGAATCTGATTTAGCCAGGTTAGTGTAGACCTTTTTTTTACAGTATGAGGTGTTAAACTTGAGTGATGGAAAATAAAAATAAATTATTTCTTTGTAAAATAAGATTTCTTATTGAATATTTTTAACTTTTGGTTCAATGTTAGTCTTTGTTTAATGAAATGGCTATTCACAGTACAAAACTCAAATCAGAATCTAAGAATTATATATTTTTTTGGGAGTGACACTCGAAAATCTGATCTAAGGGGACGATTTTAACGAATTTTACTAAAGTGGCAATATCTTGAAAACCATCGATTTTTTACTAAAAGTTATATTATATTTTTCTGATTATGAGTTGGTCCATCACCCCTTTCAGTATTATCGTTGACTTTCCGGACACCCTGTATACTTGGTATCCGCGCGAAAGCTTTGGATGGCTTTATTTATGGTATATTTAAAGTTAGAACCTGATTTTTGGAAAGTGCTTTAATATACAGTGGTACATAGAATAATGTTTTTTAAACAAAATTGTATACGAAACATTTTTTGAAAACTATTTGATCGGATGCATGTATATTTTATTGATCATAATATATATGCTCTGTTTTAATTTCATAAAAAAATATAATGTAGTGGTTTTATCTTTTCTTCGTTCACTGAAAGTAAAAATAGGTCAAAATAAATTAAATACTTAAATATAAAAAAAAAACTTTAATTACCTACTATTTTTAATGAAATATTTTATTTCAAATAACAAAACACAATCACAAAAAAAATAAATTACATTAATTTCTTTTATTAAATATTTTAAATAAAAAACTAACTTTGGTTCAGCACATACCCAAAAATTGTCATCTCTCTCAATTTTCTCAACGAACATTCCTAGTGGGGTCCAAACTATAAAATAACAATATTTGGCTTCCGTTATAGCCAACTGCCCTTGTACTTAATAATAATAATAATAATAATCTTTTTTTTAAATTTAATTTAGCCATCTGTATTGGCTAGATATTTAATTTTTTTCTTGAATTCCCATTTCTGGTGTCAATTTGGAACAAGAATAACGACATTTAATTTCAATTATTTCATTAATATTAATAATGCCGTCTGGACTGGGAATAGGACGTTTCGGAGTGGCCAATTCGACGCGGCCGTTTGGACGTCGGCCATTTCGACTCCAGCCATTTTGGCGTTGGAAGTTTTGTCAAATGTCCGGATTGCCTGGCCTAAGAGCGGTCCCTGTTCCAATCTGGGAGCTTTTGCAATTGACCACTTTGTTTGAAGTCCTTTATGAGCTTATGATATTCCTTTTATGTGTTTATTAAACAGACTACATACTTAAATTACTTTGAATTCAGAACAATCTCAAGAATTAAATACTTTTACTATTGCAGATATTGACCAAGAAATCAAAGATGCACTTTCTCACGAATGGAACGAATTCTTGGAGTACTTTTATAAGATAGTCCACGTAGGAAACCTCTTCAAATTAGAGGACCACGTTACTGAAGTTGATATGCTCCGTAGGGCTAATTATGTTTTGGAAAGGTTAAGAGATTATTATCCCTACCTCGATATGGACGGCGAACTAAATATTTGGATACTAAAACCGACCAATAGTTGTAGAGGGATAGGCATACATATGTGTAGAACACTAAAGTACGTACTGGATACTGTAAAAGCCAATCCTAATAGGCGGTATATCATCCAAAAATATATTGGTAAGTTTTTAACTTATTACAACATTTCTTTCTGGTTTCAGCTGTAATTTATGATTTTTAAACTTTGTTTCAGAACGTCCTTTGTTAATATACAATACCAAATTTGATATTAGACAATGGTTTATGATCAGTTCAACAGTCCCATTAACAATATGGCTATATAAGTAAGATTGTATGTACTCTTTATAGGTATTCTTTTGTAAGGTCTCTCGAAAGGGCTACACAAAAGAATAACCGTGCAGATTAGTAGGAATGTAGAAAAATCCCATGTAAATGTGTGTTTTTTATTTTTAGAGTTTGTTACCTGAGGTTCAGTTCCCAGACATACAACCTAAAAAAACTTCATGAATCCATACACCTTACAAATAATTCGGTACAGTGCAAATACAGGAATGCTCACCAAGATCCGCATTTGCCTACATATTGCATGTGGGATTCCAATGAATTTAGAACTTACTTAATCGGTAAGATTTGATATAGATACCTATATCTCACATTTCTTATTATAGAAGCGAACCATTTCTGCCGTCTGCATACCTACATTTGATTATATCCTAACAATTTTAGGTAAAGGTCAGCCCTCTGCGTTCAATGACATAGTTTATCCTGGAATGAAAGAATGTATAACAGCCGCTGTTTTGATGCATCATGAAAACATGGAGAAGAGAAGAAACACTTTCGAAGTGTACGGAGCAGACTTCATTTTAACAGAAGATTTTATACCGTGGCTTTTAGAAATAAACGCTAATCCAGCCTTGCATGCTTCTACTCCAGTCACTGCCAGATTGTGTCCTAAACTTATGGAAGACGTAATTAAAGGTACGACGAGAATAAACAAAATGTGATTAATTATCACCAAACAGGGCCCCGCAGGGGTTATCGCCGCCCGCGTGCCGGAAATATTTTGGCGCCCTTTGAATATATGTGGTACTTATATAAATAATATTTTGAAGAATAACAACTTTAAGCTGTAACATATGTTTTTTAAATTTCCTGTACCTATGTACAAATATGTAAGTATCTACAATACACTGAATAAAACTTGTAACGAATATTTATTGAGTGAAAAATGCATAAACTTTATGAAAATGGTGACTTCAGATGATAGGCCAATCATTGGAGATTATCAATTCACATTAATTACAAAAATTTTCAAACTTTGTTAGAATATTTATTAAATTGAAATAATTATAAATTTAATTTTGTAACTTTTTCTCAGGTCCGGAACATATTAATAATTCCAAAAAATTAAAATTTATTATAACTTTCTAAAAAAAATTGAAAAAAAGTGGTGAAAACTTGAAGCAATATACCTATACTGTATTATTTTCAACATTATATCAGATTTGCAACTTTTTTGAAAGTCCGGAACATGATTTTTTTTTGTTAAATAGTGTTTTTGTTTATATTGTTACGTTTTGTACGTGGTAAATATATTAAACGAACAAGTTCTATTGAAATGGCTTTAATTTTATTTTTACAAGACAACAAGACATCGACTATTCAAGTTGGCGTCGGTAGTGCATCTTCTTCAACAGTTGCGTACGTCACTGATGATACTGTGACCACTGACAGTTGTTGCCAACTTAGCAGTAGTTACCAACTTAACTAAATAGAGGTAGCCTCACATAACATTAACGTTTGTCCGTTTCCCAATGAATCACCCTATATTAATCGCTTTTATTAATTTTTCCAGTTGTCGTGGATTATGAACGGAACAAAAGTGCCAATACAGGAAATTTCGAAATGATCTACAGAGCAACGGGAAAGACGGACGGACCATGTAGAGAGATGAAAAATATGTCGGTAGACGGCAGACCTTTGAATGCAGATTATTTTTATCGTTCCAAATGGTCGCCCAAAGATAGAGAAGCCGAGACCACGGACTGGGGACTGAATAGAAAAATAAAAAATATATCGAGGAATCCAGACACTACAGACTTTGGATTAGGTAAAATTTGGAGTGATTTGGAGTGAGGGTAGCCATATGTGAGTAGTAGGGATTAAGTGTAAGGGGTTAAAGAAAAGGTACTTTATTTCTCACAAGTCAATTTAATTGGCGACCGGTTTCGAAGCTGTCACTTCATCATCAGGCACACCTAAAGCATGAACGGACTTTAACATATACAAAATAACAGAAAAAACACAAAAGAAAGTTAAACAATAACCTTGACTTACCTTGACTATTTCCATAAAGGAAGCGCTACATAAAGTTTAACAAAACGAGTTAAAAAAGTCATATGTAATACAATAGTATTTTTCAAAAAATATTTCAGGTTAGGTTAAACCGCGAGATGTCTGTTTGAATAAATTAATTAAAACACATGTAAGACAATTATTAACTAAACAACACAAAATAGTTTTTACAAGCACAAACAGTTTAAATTTTTTTAAGGATATAACGTCAATTAATGAAAGTAAAAAGTAAAAAAGTAAAAAGTAAAATTATCAGACTCTCAAGACATCTATCAAGATTTTTAACGAATCAATGTAGTAAACTGTAAATTTTAAATTTAGCGGATAAATAGTGTACTAACAAAGGTGTTATTTACTGAAAGTGAGTATAGGTGGCGGTGACAAAATTTATTGAAAGTAAAAATATTAAACTGGGAAATGAGAAAGCAAAAAATACTAACAAGAAAATTAGAACACTGAACAAGAAAATATGAAAATTCATATGTAAAAGGGAAATTTGAAGCAGATAATCAAAAGAAAAATTACTGTTACAGGAAACGGAAACTAAGTTGACAAGTACGAATGTCAAAAAAGAAAAGTCAAATTTTGGCGTATGACAACTACGTGGCAGAATTTGAATAAACTAATAAAGAAAACATTTAATAAGATGCGAGTGAGCAAAAATTAATGGAAACAGAGAAGAAAATCTAAATTGGGAAAGTTAATTAATTTGTGGTAAGTAACTGATTGAAGATCAAATGAGTGGGGGTATAAGTCTGAAATTAATTTATATAAGCGCAGAGAACGTTGGGGTACTAATAAATTAAATTTGTGCATTCAGAGAGCAGGAGGGGCCAGATTTAATATTTTGCATATGACTTCTAATAAATTCCTTCTGAATAACTTTGAGAACCTGGAAATTTAAAAAAATATTAAATCTGGTCCCTCTTGCTCTCTGAATGCACAAATTCAATTTATTAGTACCCCAACGTTTTCTGCTCTTATTTAAATTAATTTTTGACCCATACCCCCACTCATTTGATCTTCAATCAGTTACTTACCACAAATTAATGAACTCTCTCCCAATTTAGATTTTCTTCTCTGTTTCCATTAATTTTTGCCCACTCGCATCTTTCATATTAAATGTTCCCTTAATTGGCTTATTTAAATTCTCCCACTTGGTTGTCATACGCCAAAATTTGACTTTTCTTTTTTGACATTCGTACTTGTCAACTCATTTTCCGTTTTCCTGTAACAGTAATTTTTCTTTTGATTATCTGCTTCAATTTTCACTTTTACATATAAATTTTCATATTTTCTTGTTCAGTGTTCTAATTTTCTTGTTAGTATTTTTTGCTTTCTCATTTCCCAGTTTAATATTTTTACTTTCAATAAATTTTGTCACCGCCACCTATACTCACTTTCAGTAAATAACACCTTTGTTAGTACACTATTTATCCGCTAAATTTAAAATTTACAGTTTACTACATTGATTCGTTAAAAATCTAGATAGATGTCTTATTGAGAGTCTGATAATTTTACTTTTTACTTTTTTACTTTTTACTTTCATTAATTGACGTTATATCCTTAAAAATTTTTAAACTGTTTGTTCTTGTAAAAACTATTTTGTGTTGTTTAGTTAATAATTGTCTTACATGTGTTTTAATTAATTTATTCAAACAGACATCTCGCGGTTTAACCTAACCTAAAATATTTTTTGAATAATACTATTGTATTACGTATTACTTTTTTAACTCGTTTTGTTAAACTTTATGTACCGCTTCCTTTATGGAAATAGTCAAGGTGAGTCAAGGTTATTGTTTAACTTTCTTTTGTGTTTTTTCTGTTATTTTGTATATGTTAAAGTCCGTTCATGCTTTTATAATTGTTTTTTATTACAACTGACTCCTTAACATTCCATTTAGGTGTGCCTGATGATGAAGTGACAGCTTCGAAACCGGTCGCCAATTAAATTGACTTGTGAGAAATAAAGGACCTTTTCTTTAACCCCTTACACTTAATTAGGTAAAATTATTCAAAACAGTTAAGTTAACAACACTTTAGGTTTCCAAAAAAACCAAACTTTATTTATTAAAAAATGTACAAAAAAATGGATCTTGTAATTTCAAATAATAATGTAAAACAACCATGTTTATCGTTATACCACAGCTTATACAATACAGCTAAAACACTCTCTTGGCGGCAACGGTTTGCGTCGATTCCGTCGCGCATTGCTTAAGCTCCTCCTTCGGACGGAAAAGACGGCTTTGGCGTTCAGAATCGTACTTAGGCAAGGATTGAGCCGTGCGTATAATTTCGTTGATTGCATAATTTCGTTGATTTTGTTTGAGCTGCCTGTTGTGTTAAGTTAAAGGTACTGTTATTATTTTGGTGACTCTTTAACTGTGAGTAGAATGAATGAAAAAAAAGACATCATTCTGTCTGTGCAGTCAAAAGCTGTTTTAATAAGGGTTATACCTGCAAGAAAACATTCTTTCGTTTTCCCAAGGACCCAAACCGGTAAGTACCATATTCTAAGAAATTTTCATTAATAATAATATAATTTATACAGGATGTCCCGTTAGTGCGTAATTGTTCAATATTTGAATTTGTGTTGTAAACATGCAAAAAAGTTTTAAATTAAAATTATATGGATTTGAAAAATACATATTTTAAAAATATTTTTGAATATTGAATTGGCAAATCAAAATGTATGTTTTTTAAATGGAACACCCTGTATTTTATTTTATTTTATTTTTAGAATGGTTTGGTAATACTGTATTTAACCCTAAAATGTATTAAAAAATAATATTAGTGTTGCCAAGCAGTTAATTTTTTTTTTTAATTAGAGAATGATGCATACCCCACATTAAATTATCATAATTTAGGTAGGTTTACATTGATTTCAAAATTGTTTAATATACAGACTTATAAAATACTAAGCTAACGAATAGTGGTGATAGAACTGGTTTATTTTATACAGAGTGTTTTAAAACATGTCTTAAATATGGCTAATTTTAAGTTCAATTTACTCAATTTTTTCAAACAAAACACCCTGTATATTATTTTGGCCTAAAATTCCTTATAAATTTGTTTATTTATCTATACCAAAATATTAGCCAATAACACATAAACTTTGTATCCCATGAGTGCGTAATTGATCGATAGCTGTTTTATTAGTGGAAATACGAAAAAAAAATTATATAAATTTGTATAACCATGTTTAATAAATATTCTTAAATATACAGGGTGTTCCATAAACGAGGGGAGTTGATGAAACTTATACATTTTTAAAGCAAAACACCTTGCAGGTAGTCATACATATTTGATAGTTTTCACATCGTCAAACCATTTTAATAGACTTCATTTATTTGCTATAGGGTATTGAGGGTGTGTCAAAATGGGGAGTAACGGTTTTCTCACGTTTTTAAATGGAATACCCTATAAATTATACCACCGACTAATTGATACAGGGTAATCCATTTTTTTGTATTTTTAATAATAAAACAGCTATCAATCCATTACACAGTAATGGGACACCCTGTATATGTGTTATTGGCTAACATGTTGGTATCGTTGAGTAGGTAAATGTATTAGGAATTTTATGTCAAAATAATAAACATTTAAAAAAAATTGAGTAAATTATTACTTCTACAAATCTTTATGAATAAAAATACATCTAAATAAAACCGATATTGTTAAAATAAAAGCACAAGTTACCGATTCTTTATAATAACCCAGAATATCATCGAGTTCCCAGACCTCAGTCAGTCGAAGCAGTCGTTTATCTAGGTATAAACACTTAAACCCTTTGCGCGATGAATGACATTTGCTAGATACACGGGGTACAACTTGATTTGCATCCACGGCCACAATTTGTCGTGAAGTGACTGTTTTAGCTCAAAACATCTGTTAACAAGGATATTACTAGCCACATACAAATTATTTTATCTCTAATCCGAAAGATGTGCTATTATTCGTAATATTTATATTTAAATAATTTTTTTATTTATATTTGATAGATTTAAAACAAATTTAAAACCTAATTTCTCAAAACTTACTTAATGTGGCATGTAACCAACCTTATTACGCCAAGATCTTCAATTATTTCAATAATAAATATATTTTTTAATCCGAGACCGACTTTTCCGTCGAATCTAACAGAGATAGCACCATTCCGTCTCGCTTAGTTCTCGACCGCCACATCAAAGACGCTGACACGGAGTTGTGGAGCTGTATTGTATAAGCTGTGGTTATACGATTAAAATAAAAAGAACATTAATTCCCACGTTGACAACGTATTTATAACCTCCGGTTCATCGTCGTCAAGGTGCAAAGCGGTGACTTTGCTGATGAGGCACTCCGGGCAATGAACGGTGGGTTTCTATAACATTTCTCTGTAAAATTATTTTTTTCGTTTTCAAATATAAGCCTGTATGATATTTGAAAAGTGTACGTCACTGAGCAAAGCAGTTGCAGTTTTTTGTACTCTATCGTTTGTTTGCTACGATATTTTGTTTTATTTTTGATCTTTTTTACTCAAGTTTTTCAAATGCAATAGCCTGTATTTTATTTTAGCATTAAATTCGTTATGAATTTATCTATCCAACGATACTAACATGTTAGCCTTTTAAGTATTTCTAAATGTAAAATTGTGACTTATAGCCTCAAACATAGTTCTCTGAATTTTCCTTATTCCATTAATAATATTATTTTGGAAAAAACAGACACTATCAAAGATTTGGCTGTTCACTTTGATTATCAAAATACTGTTAA